AGCTTAGAAATTCGAGAAAATTAAAATTAAGAAATTCAAAAGTCATGAATTTGCGCCTGATGCACTCTTCCTGTCTACCGTCTGCCGTATCTGTATGAAGCTTGCGTGGAATTCTAAGCTCAGAACAAAGCAGAGTGTTGTTAGCTGAATCGATATCGAAAAAAGCTTTGAGAAGAAAGTAATAAAAGAAAGGAGTGATCAAACATGCAACCCACGTTCCATCATTTTTACGCTAAAACCCGTTTTCTAATCAAAAAGACAGTTCATCGTGGTTTATATGTGGACAAAATGTATATCTTAAATAAACCAAAGACATCTAAAAAAAGCACGCGCTTCGCCAGCTGCTTCCTTGGAAGAACTACTGAGCTACAATCCTTTCAGGAGGCGAAATGAGCTACAATCCAGACGATGCAACACTGAGCAAAACAACAGTGGAGGCAGAAAAGTCGATATCCGCACAGATGAGGACTGAAATAACATCGGTTCCAGCTATTCCAAGCATTTTGAAAATCGTGGAAGCATTCAAAACAACAAAATTTACGAACAACAAAAAAATGCCGGCCGATTTTCCTTGCAGACTTTTCCGAAGCACAAATTACCAGTCAAAACGATGAAGTTAGAATTTTTAAACAAAAATTTTCCAAAAAAAAAAAATTACTTCAAATTATTTTCGCCAACGAATTTAGTTAATAGGTAGCACGGAAGCATGCCATTTTCAACCAATGCGCACATTTTCTTTGTTGCTTTATCACTGCATTCAGCGATAGTCCAGATCAGTGTATGTATGGCCTTAGCAATGGCATCACCAAGTGCACAGCCCGTAACCTGTGAGCAGAAATACCAACAGATTATAACACCAAAAAAAAATAGTGGAATTTTTTAGAAATTCCAAAAAAAAGGAGGATAGGGTCCTCTGGCTAAATTCATCTGAGTTTGCCTCAATCCGTGTCTAAAATCCTATTCGATGGGACTTCTCGAGTATCTTCCTCGACTATGCACCATTTGCCTATAACTAAATTAACTACGTCATCGTTCTGCTCAAAGATGCTTTTTTCTCGAATTTTTTGTTACCCATAGGTTTCATTAGCAAAATAAAATTATGATAAATATATTCTTCCAGTTAGATTTTTATTTCACTGAAATTTAACTGCATTAAATACAAGTTGAATACAATCACAGGAGCTGTGATTTGCCCAAAAAATTAAACGAATCCCGTGCAGACGTCTTCTAACTCATCGTCGACCTGGTTACGGCGCTGGCATCATAAATCCGGTTTACCTTGGCCTTATTACAGGCTGAACCGCGAGGAACGATTTTATCACAGCTCGGCTAATACCGAATCTACATATTTGTTATGCATCAAGTGAAGGCCTGCATGTTCGTTTTATGCACAAAAATCCTGCTGCCAGTAGACTTACCAGTCTGTCAAAGACAAAATCTCCGCTGATAATTTCCTCCATAGCATTCGAGTCATGGCATACCGCTCGTATCAATCCAATGCAGTGTACTATCAGTGAGCTCACACAGCCTACACACCGATCACTAAAATAAATGACTTTGTCAGCATTTCAAAAAAACTTTACGCATTGGGCTTAGCTGCTTTCGTCGATACCTATTTCTGTTGAATACGAATCACGGCCGGCTGGCTGACCGTGGTAGTAGGGAACTGAAAGGCCCTTAACGATGTTAGGCTTGAGGTGATCATGCCCGAACAGTGGAAAGTAATCGAGTAAAGGTGGCACCTCCAGAAAAGTATGAAATGACCAAGTGTGGCCGCTCCCATTTTGGAAATTTCACGAGCTCGTACATGAGAACCACGGGTTGGAACTCATTAAGAACTACGTGGACGGGAAAAATCCCCTTAAAATTTCAGCTTTCTGACTTTTCCAGTTCACGAGCTAGCAGCTTAGGCAATTTTACGAACAACTAACACTCTCAGGTAATACAAAATACACTTATAAATCAGCAAAAAGATCAATGTTGATTTAACAGCACAAGATACAAGATGAAACACTTGGCTACAAATGTTCATAAATTTATTTATAAAATATAGATTTTTATGAGTTTTGCTGAAAAATTCACACTCATTTCTGCATTCGGCATGTCTCTGAAGCAATTTTGAGTAAAGGAAACTATCGCTGATTTTGCCTGTAAATAGCTGCTCTTGAAAAAATACAGTCTCGAAACAGCTCCTACTGCCTCCAACTTTCACAGGAAGTGGAATATGAAAAAATATTGTGATTTTGGGGCTTTCTTCATAAGTCCTGCTAACACATAGAGTATTACAAAACTTTGTTAAGCACAGAGAGATAGCAAAAATAGTA